ACTTAGTACACATGCTAACACAGATAATAGATGCAATATGATAAGCTCCCACTAAGAAAAACACCCTCAATGAGTTTCTAAGTGTGCTAGGATCCATATTTCACATGTTTTTGAGTCAGCTAGGGCATGACACTAAAAACATGCTATTTAGGTAGACAACACATTGTCAATCATATCATATATGATTCCTAGATGAGTATGAGATAGTGATACGCTATCAATGCATGTTCCTCATCCCATCCTTACCATTAGGTCCAAGTCCGACTTGATAACCCAATTCAAGCTCAACCATATTCGAGCTATGAGAATCACGATTTCTCGATACTGTCTCACCAAGATAGTCAGGCACACTCAGCTAGGGCATGACCCGTAACCATGACGATCGAGGCCTTGACAGTTGCTCTACTAATGGGCGGTAATAGCTTGAGATTAATCATGAGGAAGATGACAAAATTTCGGACTTGAGAAGTGTCTGAGGTCCAGTCCGGAGCTGACCAGAATCTGGTCGCCGGACTGACCTTGGTCAGCTTCTCCGGTCCGCCGTTCTGTCATTTTTCGGAGAAATTCTGAGCTTGGTCCAGGGCTGACCAAATTTGGTCAGCCCCTGACCAACTCAGTCCGATTTCTCCTTCTCGACGTACTAGAGGAAGCGGAGCGCAGACCAACTGGGCTTGGTCCGGGGCTGACCAAACTTGGTCAGCTCCGGACCAACTCAGTCTGATTCCTTGGTCAGCCCGCCAGTCTTCGTCTCGGACCTGTGTTGGTTTACTAGGTTTCATGCAGCGGAAGAAAGATCAAAACCTAGTCAAACGTCACATGCAACCAAACTCGCAAAACCCGAAAGATCGTGTATATCACCGAGGAAATCGTTACTTACCTCGTTCTCGATGAGACTTGAAGTTTATTTCGATCCGGGGCCTGTTCTAAATCACCTAGGACTGAAGTTACAGTCCCTCTACACGTATCCACACCGACGGGAAGGATTCCAAACGATTTGGAACGAATCTGCTAGGATTAGTGAAGAAAAGGGTAACTCAAGAGACGAGATCCAATCCCGGGACAATAGAAATCGAAGAGAACATGTTCTCTAGGGTTCTAGGATGTTTCTCTGAGTTTTAGGTCGGCCTTAATTAAGTTTGGACGAAATCCCAAACTTAAATAAGATTAGAAAACCCTAAAATCGAATTTTGGAAAGTTTCCCAGATCCCGGTCCACCAGACCAGGAGCTTGGTCCGGCGTACCAGGCTTAGTCTGACACCCGCGACCGGCTGGCCTGAAGGCTTGGTCCGGCGGACCACGTGTGATCAGCTCCGGACCAAGATCCTTCTCGGTCTTTCAGCTCCGGACCAACTTTTGGTCAGTCGGACCAGACTTGGACAGATGACCTCCTAGCTGACTTCCGGACCTCCTGGGCTGACCGACTTGGTCCGGGGCTGACCAAACTTGGTCAGCTCCGGACCAACACATTGAAAACTCCTTTTCACGCTTGTTTCGGTCAAATCTCGTTTCCATTCTTCGGATTCTTCACGTATAAGTCCATCCCTATTGGTGTGTGACCCTGTAGGCCCATTCTAAGTGGTAGTGACTTTAGGAACCTTTCCCGAACCACAAGTCATGGTTAGCCTCAAGACACCGGTTTACCACCTCCGTCTGTCCATCCGTTTGTGGGTGGTACGTCGTGCTCATAAGTAGCTTAGTTCCGTGGAGATCAAATAGTGCCCTCCAAAATCTGCTTTGGGAAATCTTGTCGCGATCCGAAACAATGTTTTTCGGCAGCCCATGGAGTCGTACAATCTCTCGAAAAAATACTCCAGCCACATCAGCTGCAGTAAAAGGATGTTTAAGAGGGATAAAGTGAGCATACTTGGAGAGGCGATCTACAACCACGAAGATGGTGTCCTTCCATTCCGATGTTGGTAGTTCTTCGATGAAATCCATTGAAACTGAAGCCCAAACACTCGGTGGTATGGGCAAGGGTTGAAGCAGCCCCGCCGGAGACAATGTCGACGCCTTGTAACGCTGACATACATCACATTTTGCAACGAAAGCGGCAATGTCTTGCTTCATACCAAACCAAAAGACTTCGCGTTTAATTCGTAAGTCTTATCAATTTCCGAATGCCCACCCAAGGGTTGAGAATGCCCATCCTCCATAAATTGGTTAGCAAGCTCAGAATGTCGAGGCGCCACAATTCGACCATCGTAATTAAGGTGGCCCTTCCGTAGGACGAAACGACCCACTTCCCGTCCATCTAGAAGGTCCCGACAAACAGCCTGCAAAATAGGATCGGCCGCCACCGCTGAATCAATTAGAGTATAATCGATATCACGTGATCCCACTATCGTAAGTTGACTGAGATACTCCAGAATTGAAGCTGGCGGTCGGCGAGATAAGGCATCAGCCCCCTAATTGGTGTTTCCCGCCATGTATTGTATGTCGAAATCATATCCCATCAGTTTCGCCATCCATTTATGTTGTGTCGTAGTGGTAAACCGTTGGTCCAACATATAACGTAGGCTCCGCTGATCAGTTCGCACGGTGAATCGCCTGTCCCATAGGTAGTGTCGCCATTTCTGTACAACAAGGACGATTGCCATCAGCTCTTTTTCGTAGACAGATTTCAACTTGGCCTGCTGCGACAATGTTTGACTCATGTAGGCAATGGGGCGACTCTCCTGAATCAACACCGCTCCCACCCCGTAATCACACGCGTCGGTCTCCACGATGAAAGGCTTGCTAAAATCTGGAAGGGCTAAGATCGGGGTAGACGTTAAAGCCATCTTGAGAGAAGAAAAGGCTCGGTCAGCCTCTTTATTCCACACAAATCCCCCTTTTTTCAGCAATTGGGTCAGTGGCCAAGCGATGTTTTACCATACCCACGTACAAAGCAGCGTAATATCTAGACAGCCCTAGAAACCCCCGTAATTCCGTCAAAGTCTTTGGTACAGGCCAATCGGTGACCGCACAAATTTTCTCATAGTCAACAGCCACTCCATCTCCCGAAACCACGTGACCTATATAATCCACCTGTTGCTGTCCAAAACTACACTTCTTCTTGTTAGCAAAAAGAGAGTGTTCCCGCAATATCTCCAAAACCACCCGCAAATATCGAATATGTTCCTTTTTAGTGCAGCTGAAGACAAGGAAATCGTCGAAAAATACAAGAACAAACTTGCGCAAGAAGTTGCGGAATACCTCGTTCATGTTTGATTGAAACGTTGCGGATGCGTTGGTTAATCCGAAAGGCATGACCAAGAATTCGTAGTGGCCCTCATGAGTCCGGAAGGCCGTCTTTTCGATGTCTTCTGGCTTGACCCGGATTTGATGATAACCAGATTTAAGGTCGATCTTTGAAAAAATCGTAGCTCCGTGTAACTCGTCCAAGAGCTCATCAATTGTCGGAATTGGGAACCTGTCACGAATCGTGACGGAGTTAAGCGCTCGGTAATCCACACAAAATCTCCAGCTACCGTCTTCCTTTTTAACCAACAGAACTGGGCTGGAATACGGGCTCACACTTGGTCTGATTATTCCGGCCTTCAGCATCTCCCGTACTAGTTCTTCGATAGCGTTTTTCTGGACATAAGGATAGCGGTAAGGACGCACATTGACAGGGGATGTACGGCTGTGCAGCATGATCGCATGGTCACGGTGTCGTCGAGGTGGCAATCCATTGGGTTTTGCAAAAACATCAGCATATTGGTCTAATACAAACTGTAGCGCCACCCAAGAATCTCCAACCTTCGGATTTTCCGTAGAAAGTAATGTGGACAGCTCAACAAGGATGCCTTCCCGTTCCCGTCGCATGGTCCGCAACATCATGTTCAGTGAGATTTCAGAACGCACCAGACTTGGATCCCCTTTCAACGTGACCCATTTTCCATCCCGTTGGAAGCGAATCAGGTGTTGCCCCCAATTAGTCCTGGTTTCCCCCAGTGTCCCCAGCCACTTATAACCCAAGATAACATCCGCGCTTCCCAATTCGAAAACCAGAAAGTCGTCAGAAATATCGATACCTTGGACGGACAACGACAGCTTCCGGCACTTGCAAGGGCTGATAAGGATTTCGCCATTTCCCACAGAAATCTCGTAAGTGTGTGTGCCGTCCATGTGGAGACCCAAGCGAGTCACCAGACGATCTGAAATAAAGTTATCAGTAGTCCCGCTATCAATGAGAATGATCACTGGCTCGCCACACAGCTCACCAGCCAGCTTCATCGTGTGTTTTGATGACAGCCCGACAATCGAGTTGAGAGATAACTCGACCAGATTTTTGTCATCTTCATCCTCCGGTTTGTCTGTCACCTCTGGTTCCACTTCCTCATCAGTGTCCTCGTCCCTAGTAATCAGCAAACGCAGTTGCCGACCGGGACATTGATGGCCAGGTTGAAAACGAGCATCACAGTTGAAACATAAGCCCTTAACTCTGCGCTCCTGCATTTCTTTGAAGCTTAAACGCCTCTCAAACCCAGGATTTGAACGAGACGACTCCCGTGGTGGTGATTTTACTACGGCAGACGGTTGCGTACCAGCCACGAAACGATTGGGTCGTGAATTCCAGCGAACATCTCCGTCCGACCTTAGGTACCCTTGCTGAAAAATGGGTAGACAACCCCCACTACGCACAGTTGCAGACCCACTGCCTTGTATCTCCTGCCATCTCTCCACTTTTTGAGCCATGTCCATGAGTCGGATAAGCCCTGTTTCATGAAAGAGTTGAACCGTGTAGGCGATTTCCAGTTTCAGCCCTTCTAAGAAGGCTTGCTCCAAAAACTCAACATCCACCTGTTTTGACAGTGCTCGGATCTCATCAAAAGAACGCCGATATTCTGCCACACTCCCAGTTTGACGTTAAGTCATGAGGCGGCGATACAAAGACACGAACTCACCGGCACCAAAACGAGCAAGGACACGTTCCTTGAAATCAGACCAACCCATAAATGGTTTGTCTTGTTTTTCACACTGGAACAACGTCAAGGCAGGACTAGTAAGTGCAAAGACTACCAACTCCAACTTTTCCACCTCTGTAATCTGCAAACGAATAAAATATTGCTCCATTTGCATCAACCATCCCTCTGTGTTCTCCCCTTCGAAAGTCACGATCTCAGGTTGTTTCAAGGAGGTGTCGCTGATGGCAGCTCCTCGACCCAACGTCACACCTCGAGTAACCCCTGCCGCCGAGCACTCGCCGAACCCACCCACCTCTTGGTTCGGCACGATCGGACTGGCAAACACGATCGGCGGTTCGTTAGCCTCCAAACCTCTAAGCGCGACTGGTTTGGGCTCCCCCAGAGTAGAGTTTTGGCCTTCTGTTGGTTTCGCCGCGAACGCACCTGACTGGGTCGACGACAGTGGCTTTGATTGAGAGGAGATCATCTTCTCCACCAAGGCCGACATCAGAGGGAGCAAGGCTTCCTGTAAAGCATTAGACAGATTCGCCACCGTCAGCGGAGTTGAGCCCTCCACACGTGTCGGCTGCTCGGCCCCGGCCGCGGCTACCTCATAATGGAAAGAAATCTTCTGCATATCTTTATGATTATATGCATATCAATTAGCTCCTACGATCATGTTATTCAGTTGCCTAGTCTTACTCAATTACCCTTGTAATCACTCATGTATATATTCATGTTGTATGCTATTGAGAACATAATACGAAAACCCTACTTTCTCAAACTTGGTTTATGGTATCAGAGCAAAAGTCTTGCGACATTCCACTCTTTTTTTTTCTCGCCGCACAAATCGCCAGCAGCATGTCCACCGAAACCAACACCACCAACACCCCTTCCGATGGCACCCCTGTGTCTACAGACACCGTCCATCCCTATAACCTCGACAATCCTTCTTCTCCTTTGATTAACATCAATGTGACCAATATTTCCAAGCTTTCGACATCCAATTATCTCACATGGAGCCTACAAATCCGTTCTCTTCTTCAAGGTTATAACCTTGAGGACTTCCTTGATGCCACCAAATCCACATCACCGACAATCACCGAAAACACCACGACCATCCCCAACCCTGCCTATGCATCTTGGTTTCGTCAAGATCGGTTAATTTTTTCAGCCCTCCTCGGCTCCATCTCACCATCATGCCAAGCACTTATTGCCCGAGCAACCTCCACGAGTGAGGCGTGGACGACTCTCGCCTCCACCTATGGTCGGTCTAGCCGGGGACATATCAAGCAAATCAAAGACCATGTGAGACGTTTCTCCAAAGGCGGGAAATCTATTGATGAGTTCATGCATTTCTTCAAGACCAAAGGTGATGAGCTAGCTCTTCTTGGCAAACCCCTAGATCATGAAGATCTTGTGGATCTCATCCTCTCTGGCCTCGGTGAGGAATATCGCCCTATCAAGGATGCTATCAATGCCCCTGACATACCTATTTCGTTTGTGGAACTCCATGAACGCCTATTGAACCATGAATCGATTCTTCTTGCTTCCGAGCCACTCCCATCTGTGATGCCGATCTCTTCCCATAATGCTCAGACACGAACCACCGGCACCTCATCTCGTCCTTCGTGGCCACCTCCTTCGAAACACATCTCCCGCTCTCCCCATGCATTCTCGGCTATTACGACCACTTATTCGGATTGGCACTCTAGACTAGGCCATCCCTCTCCCGATGTTTTAAATAAGGTCATAAACCAATTTTCATTACCCTTGTCGTCCAATAAAACTCGTACCTTGTTATGCGAAACTTGCTCTATTAATAAAAGCCACAAACTCCCGTTTTCGGTTTCTACTCTAACGTCTTCTTGACCCCTTGAGATTTTATTTTCGGATGTATGGTTGTCTCCTGTAACTTCTTTTGATGGTTTTAAGTATTACGTTATTTTCGTTGACCACTTCACCCGTTACATATGGCTTTACCCTCTCCAAAGAAAATCCCAAGTGCGTGAAATTTTTACTCGATTTAAACCTTTGGTCGAAAATCGTTTTAACCATCGCATCCAAACATTTTATTCGGACAACGGAGGCGAATACATTGCTCTTCGATCATATCTTGCCGACCACGGCATCACCCATCTCACCACACCTCCACATACACCCGAACATAACGGAATTTCGGAACGCAAACATAGGCATATCATGGAAACGGGGCTTACACTCCTTTCCCAAGCTAATATATCTTTGTCCTATTGGACATTTGCGTTTCCGACTGCCGTTTTCCTCATCAATCTTCTCCCGACCAAAGTTTTACATGATAAGTCCCCATATGAAAGCCTATTTTCTATCGCGTTCATGTTTCATACGTGTTTTGGAATCGTTTGTCATATTTTCTTTCATTTGTTCTTTCAACCCGAGCAGGAACGTTTCCAGCATCTATGTATGATTTTGTTACTCTAGTTATATCTGCAAATATATCGTATAACTCATTTGCAACATTCTGTAAATGTATAATCCTTTAAACTTCTAACTCTCATTGTTTTGCTGGAGGATCAAGATTTGATAATGATGGTGTACACCAACTAAGGTTATTTTCATTTCCTACCATTCTAAGATTTTCTTCCCCTAATGATAAGAATTCATTCTCATTAAATTGACAATCAACAAAACGAGCCGTAAAAATATCTCTAATTTATGACCCATTTTTGTACGTTGTGGTGGGAAAATCGGTACATATACTGCGCATCCGAATATTCTGAGATGCGATATATTAGGTTCTTGACTAAATGCTAATTGCAATGGAGAATACTTATGATATGCACTTAGTCTAATACAAATAAGTGGTGCAACATTCAAAATAGCATGACCCCATACAGAACTGGATAACTTTATTTTCATTATCAATGGTTTGGTAATAATTGGAATTGTTTGATTAATGACTCTACCAATCTGTGTATGAACGTGTGCTACTGGGTGCTCAACATAAATATTCATTGCTACGCGGTAATCATGAAAGGCTTGTGATGTAAATTCTCCAATATTATCAAGCCTCACTTTCTTGATTGTGTATTTTGGGAACTGTGCACTTAATTTAATTATTTGGATTAAAAATCAGGCAAATTCCAAGTTACGTGACGATAAAAGATATATATGCGACCATCTGTTTGAAACATCAAATAATACCATAAAATAACATAATGGTCTACATGGTGGATGAAATAGGTCTATAAATATCACCATGAATTATTTCCACAAATGATGGTAATTCATGCCCAATTTTAGCTTTAGGTGATCTAATATTAATTTTCTTGTAGAACATGCATCACAAGAAAATTCATATGATTGAAAAATCTTCTGGTTTTTCAATCGGTGATCATGAAAGTTTTTTATAATCTTTCTCATCATAATGACATCTAGATGACCTAATCGATCATGTTAGACTTTGAATATATCAGTAAATTTGTGGTTTACTATGACATGTAATTCAATCACATTGATATTAGTATGATATAACCCTGAAGATAATGTGTATAATTTTTTAAATATATACTTTTGTCCCGAATTGATTGAGGTGATATATAAATACTCAGTGTCATCCTTATTCATGGTTTCAATATGTTATCTATTTTGTCGGATCTTTAAAACTCAATAAATTTCTTTGGAACTTGGAGGAAAATAGTGTATCTTTTGTTGTAAATTTTGTTCCTCCTGACATTATGAAATCGACTCTTCCAGAGCCTTCAATTATTTTTGCATTTTCAGATATAATAGTGATATTTCCTTTGTTTATTTCCTTATTCGATAAATATTTTTTTTTCAGTATTGTATGTATTGTAGCACTATCTGCCAAACATATATCTCCTCCTCGGTTCGTAGATTTGGTCATATTCGTTTTCTATTCAAGAACAAAACAACATTGTAAACATTAAAAATAGATATATTAATAATGCATAATATCATTACTAACTTATGAAACAAAAATAGTGATATAAATGCATAACAAAGTAAGCACATCATGAAATTATTTATACATGAGGATGCATATATAGATAATATTGATTATATATAAAGGATGCAAACATATATATATCTTTTATTCATAATCGGCGCCATCTTCAGGATGGGCAAAACCATCAGTCGAGATCCATGTGTGCAAAGTTTTTGGCATCACTAGCATCATCATCATAATCATTAATGATGTGATTGATCTCGATGCTTTTCCCTTTTGTTTCTTTGATCGACTTTTAGTAAATTAAGGTCCAACATGTGTTTAGCGGTGCAGCAAGTATGCGATCAATGTCCTATCATTCCACACCGGTGGCATGTGCTTTCTTTCATCCTCTTGTTTGGATGACCATGCGTCCCCCCTTTATTATTGCTAAAATCATGATTTTGGGATGAAGTTTTTTTACCACCTCCTTTAATCCAACTTCAGCTAGCATCGCGACTGTGTCCTCGACCTTGGCCTCTATCTTGAAAGTAACCATGTTCTCGGCCATTATAAGATATAACATTCACCCCAGGGAATTATGTGTTTTCTATAGCATTCGTTTCAGGGAATAATACAAATCCAGTAGGTCGTGATGCGTGATTTTTTCATTAACAGCTTATTATTTTGTTTGGCCAATAGGAGGCATGGTAGAAATTCCGAATATTTTGTATATGTTGGTTGTAATGCTCTAGGATAATCCGTGATATGACATTTTGACTTTGTATTGATTCAATGATTTATGAATGCATTACATTCCCGTTATATGATTGGCATGTTTGTTATATTTCGGTATCCTTGAATCATTATAGAATGATTCTAAACACCCTGGTCAATTGTCATTGTGGAAACAATGATGAATTAAGACTAGCATGAGGTGTGATCGATATATTGGATGCATATCACAATCATGGGTACTCGTTGTGAACGAGTGACTGGTTGACCCGCATGAGATTGTCACATGGAAAGAGTCATGACTTGAATCTCATACAACGGTTCGTTCTTGGATCCTTAGACCTGAGATGTCTAGAGTATCTGATATGAGGAGTGGCATGTCTTGACTGCATCAAACGTCGTCTTTAGCCGGATGATTATAACGGCGTTGATCAGATACGTTCACAAATCATATGGAGATAGTAGATATGCAATATGGGACTTGTCATCTCTTTAACAGGAGAGATGTCGTTGGGTCCCTCGTGGAAATCGGACTGTGAAAATGCGTGGTCACGCTATAGATGTATGTACATCTATTTTATCAGTCGATTTGCCTAGACGAAGTAAGCGGTTGAACTTGAAGGGTGGCTCATACCATGCCCTTGTTCAACATACGACATCGTGAGACAAAGGATCAGAACTCGAGCTATTACTGTCTTGGTTAGATCACCTCTAATTCAATTCAACGTGGGTAGTCATGGCGTCTTGCTAGAGGCTAACCATGACTTGTATACCGGGAATGGTTCTCGAGGCTGCTGCCACTGCGAATGGGCCTACAGGTCACACACCATTAGGGATGGACTTATATATGAAGTATCGGAAAGGAAGACTTGGATTTGGTCGAACAAATCAAATCAGAGTGTCGGGACGAATTCAGCCTTCTAACTCGGACCGAGTCAGTATTTGACTCGGACCGAGTCAGTTCCATGCGAGTCGAAGCCCAGAAAGTGTTTTGGGCTTGGCTGATGTTTTGACTCGGTCGAGTCAAAGTTTTGACTCGGACCGAGTCAATACTAAATGGGCCGAGTCAAGAGTTTCTAACTTATAAGGAGGTGTTGGACGCCGTCCTAAGGTGAGAACTCATTTTCAGAACCCGAACACAGAGCAAAAGCTCAGAAGAAATCGTTTCTTTAATAGTTCTAGCTCCCGGGATTAGATCCCACTTGATATACTTCACAGATCCTAGCAGATCGATTCCAAAAAGCGTTTGGAATCCTTCCCGACGGTGTGGATACGTGTAGAGGGACTGTAACTTCAGTCCTAGGTGATTAAACAGGCCCCGGATCGACTCCTACTTCCGTTTTTTCAGGAAAGAGGTAAGTATACGATTCCCACGGTGATATACACGATCATACGGGGTTTTACGGATGAGTTTGGTTGCATGTGACGTTTGACTAGGTTTATATTTTCCTTCCGCTGCATGAAACCTAGTAACCAAATCCTAGAACGATGAGATCGCATGCTAGGAACCCGTAGCGAAACCCAACAGTATACCCTTCTTCTCGATATTGTTGTTGGAGTATAATATTCGAGGCATGCATAGTTGAGAACGTTTTCTCCAACATCTCATTTTCGGTGACTGTTTCTCCGCATAATTTTAAAATCGAACGGTATATTGCCGAGTTATATTCACTAACAGTCTTGAAATCTTGAAATCGGAGGTGCTCATATTTTGTCTTGGAGAAAATCACCATTTTTGATAATCAAAATGATCTTTTTCAAATCATCATGAAGATGATGTCGTAGCAATATCAGTTCTTTTGCTTTTTTCTCGTTTGATGCACTTTTTTTTCTTTAATTGTGATACCAAGATCTTTTGATTCGAGATTCAACTCAGTATCCAACTGTCATGATAAAAAAAATCGACATGTCGAGGACCTCGAACTCGATATTGGTCATTCTTGTCATTATGACTAAACAAAAAAAAATAAGGCACACATTTGCTTTATTAATTATCATAGAGAATACAACATAGTGAAATGCATGATTATACATGAATTGCTATAATTAATAACACATATGCAAAAGGCAAAACCACAACGCAAATTGAAAACAAAAATGGATCAGGTCCTTCATCGAAGAAAATACTAAACGTTGTTACCAAAATTGTTAGAACAAAGAAAATTTTAATAAAATTCGTCTTGAGATATTTTTTTCGTGACAGAAGAGAAGAGAATGAGATGATTTTGTCTAAGTTGTTCGAGTGAATAAATGAGTGTATTTATAGGATAAAATTTACTATTTCTAACCCGTGGAGAGGAGTCAAAATTTGAATTTTGATTTTTTTTAGTGTAGCCATTAGGAAAAAAATAAATTTTAAAAAATTTATAAATGATTTTATCAATTTATATTATAAAACTATACATAGAAAAATAATTGATCAAAATGAATTATTAATTATTTTATAAATTAATTGATCATGTTATATATAATTAATTAATTATTGAGAAATCAAATAATTTATATCAAGTTAATTAATCTATCGTTATATAAAAAAATTTGTAAAACTTTATATGTAAATTTCATTAGTAATATATTTATTAGATTAAGTTTAATTTTTTGCGTATAAATAATTTTTCAATAAATTTATATTATCTATGATAATATTTTGTATGTTGAATATTTATTAATTTATATAGGTTAGATAATATAAATGACTATATATGGCGATATTGTTCCAACTTAATAATTAAGGTGGTACAGTCGTCCGTAAATAATAAACGAGACGGCATAAACTTCCATAAATTAATTATTTATTCATATATAGTTTGAGGTTAATTCCATTTAAATATCAATGAATACACGTATATATCATAAAGACGAAAAATATTAGTATTAAAGATAAGTTATCTTACCTTTAGTTATAGAAAAGCGTTCGTGTTGATAACGCATTATAAAACCAAGAGAATATAAAAGACCCAAATATTAGATTGTTAATTATAAACCGAAATTTTTATTTAAGGGTATGGAAAACAAAGTATTTTTTATTAGTCTTTTTCTTGAAAATGTATAAATAAGGAAACTCAAATAAACTATTTATAAAAATCTCGAAATTATTATATACAGTCGGTATAAATAATAACCGAGTAAATAAATCGAGTAATGATGGTTCTAGCGTAAATATATTTTATTTATATCAACTATGACAAAATTCAATCCCCAAGAAAAACCCAGAGGAGCCTAACGACCCGAGTCGACTCACCGAGTCAAGAATGCAGACGCAGATGACTCCCCTCATTCATTTTTTTTTTTTGTTTTGTTTATTTTTTTTAATTTTCTTTTCCCCAGTTCCTTTTTTGGTTCTCTCAATCGGGTAGAGTAAAAGAAAAGAGCAGTTTTTTTCCAAGCCCTTTGACCACAATCAAACCTAAGCAGCTTCTTCAGATCTGAAAGGTATTGTCTTTTTCTTCATTCCTCTCCGTGTCTGTGTGTGTTGGATTCTCCGGCGTCTTCATGATCTGAATTCGGTTTCTTTCGTTTGGTCCCTCCTCGTCTCTCTTTACTTTGTCACTGTTGTTGTCTGAACAAGGCACGCCCTTTCTTCCACAGGCTGATTCTCTCATCCACTGTTCAAGAACAGCGTCTGGTAAAAATGCCTCCTTCTCGTGCTCTTTTCTTGTTGCTCTTCCCAAAAAGTTTTCTTTTTGTTTTTCCTCTTTGGGTGGTTCGCTGTTTGTTTTAAGGGTTTAAAAATTGAAATCCGTTGGTGGGTTTCGCTGGATTCTGCTTTTTGGGTGGTGGGTTGACGATGGTTCTTTGGTTTCTGAAATTAGATGTCTGGAATCTCCTGCTTTTGTGTATGATTTGCTTGGAATTTCAGTAAAAAAGGACGGAAGAAATGTGTTTTCGTCTACATTTGTGATTAGTTTTATTGAATGGGGACTGTGGATTTTGAATTGAAAGTCTTTAAAGCCTCAATTGAGTGAGGAAAAGTTTGGCATCTGGCGTTTTTGTTCATTGGATGTGCACCACCTTTTAACAGTGAGTTAGGGCTAAGTTCTGTTCTTTAGGAAATGGGCTCTACGTAAATGTTGAGCCAAATTTTTAGGCAACTTGAGGGGGAAAAGCTAGAAATCTGATGCTGTTTTTTTTTTCTTTTTGGATTTTGATCTGTATTTGACTGCATTTTGACTGCTTTCTCAGTTTGTGAGAGATTCATGGGATTTTGAGTTCCTTATATAAGTGTTGTAAGTCAAACCCTAAATTTATATCTCCTTTGGCTTGCTTGAGGAGAAGAGAAAGAAAGAGGGAGAATGTGTCAAACGGGAATTTGGTTAAAGCTTGAAGATGAATACTAACTAATCTTTGACTTGGCTTTGAAGATCTATATATATATATATATATATGTAGATATATAGATATAGATATCTGAATTTGTTGAGCTTTTTGCTTGGTTTTCTCAATACTGTTTATTTTTTCGCAGAAAACATATTTCCTCTTTCTTCGACTTGTTAGATGGTCTGTCCATCCTTATGAGGTTACCTTCTCGCCTTGTGAAATTATGAACTTAGATCTCAGTTTTAGAGAGAATTGTTTCTTGGTAATATATCTAGTGTTTAAGCTACAAGTCTAAAGCTTTTTCAACTGTTTTGCAAGTTTAGCAAGGAAACACTACATTGTGTGTTTTCTGGATTCCTGAATGTGTATTGCTTTTTTTTACGGAATATTTATGTGATACGATGTTAGAGTCCCACATCGACCATATATGTGGACAACTGAGTCTTTATAAGATCATGGGCACCCTCCCCCAACAAGCTAGTTTTTGGTGTGAGTTCTACCCATGGACTTTGGGATTTAATTGAGCCTATTATGGATGGGTTCTATCATATGATACGTATTTGTAGCGAGTACTATAATGCTTTCCCTTGGACATGCCAACATACTGTGTTTCTCGGTTGTCTGGTTCGGGGTTAAAACCTCCTTTTCTCTCTGGCAATTGTGTTTCTTTGGCTGTTTTCCTGGTGGCTAACCTGTATTAAGTTTGATATGTTGGATGATTTTCGTATTGGATCATCCTCCATTGCAAACATGGAAGAAATTTTATTCTTTTTTTTCTCTCTTTCAAAAGAGAATTAACAGTCCTTTTACCACTTGAATTTTGGTGTTCCTGTAGAAAGGTCTAGATAGTTTGTGAGTAAATTCAAGGATGAGCTTTCGGTTTTTGTTGCAGTTGCTTTCATTATACCTTATGATGGTCATGTTTGGCATGTAGGACTAAGGAAAACCGACGAGAAAATCTGGTTTCAACAATGATTGGCACAAGTTTCTTGATTGTTTCCCCATCCGGATTGGTTACCTTTTGATCTTCAGATACAAAGGAAACTCTGCCTTTAACGTTTACATTTTTCGATTTATCGCACTCCCAGATAAATTACAAATACCATTCTTGTTCTTTTACCAACATGGATTCACATGACCATTTCAAGCGTGCCCGTTTGTTCAAAGAACACGAAGATGGAGATGCAGAGGCCATGTATGCAATGCCTGGTTCAAACATCAAAAGCCTGTTCAGTGGATCTAAAGGTGGAAACAATCAATATTTCTGTTTATATTGCTTAATCTAAAAATACCCTCTAGTTGATATATTTTTTTCCAGCTGAAGAAATGCCAAAAATTCCTAAAAAGAGAGGGAGGAAGAAGAAGAATCCTGATTCTGGTAAGTATTCCATCATTTCGGGCATTTTCTTCATGTGGATTACTCACGAGAATTGAAGATTCATCCTCATGATGAGGTCGTTTCGATATGAACCCAGAAGGGATAAACTCATCTACTCCTCATGGAGATGACTTGGAGAACCGTTCAAAGTTCTATGAAAGCGCTTCCGCGAGAAAGAGAACTGTCACTGCAGAAGAAAGAGATAGGGCCATCAGTACTGCCAAAGCGTTTGAGCCAGCAAACCCTTTCTTTAGAGTTGTTCTTCGACCATCATACCTCTACCGTGGCTGTATCATGGTAATATATTTCGGAATTTCCAATTCAGATACTCGGGCTGAGATTTTAGCAGTAAAGGGTCAAACTTTAGGTGGTTTAATTTAGGGGAGGATGCGGGCGGGTACCCGAGATTATCGGGTCACTAGTCCTCAATCTCATTCCCTCAGGTTTCAAGGTCAGGAGTAGATGCTCTTGATCTCGTGATGGTTGGGCACCTGAGATTCAGGTACTACGGGATGGGGCGAGGGCTCGAGTACCCTGGGGAATTCAGCTGGCGAGGGGCGATGTCACGATGAGGTCATGAGTCGCGAGAAGGGAGGCGATTGCTCGAGTACAGGGTCACGGGTTGCAATGGGGCTTTGAGAAAAAGGGTGAGGGTCTTAAATCCTAATTCAGGGATTTAAAACCCTGACCGACCCGAATCGTGATCTGACATTTTTTTTTTAATTCCTAACGAAACCCTTGTGGCCTCTCTCACGAGTCTCGCTCCTCACCTGTAGAGCGACAAGGCTTGTCACGCGCTGGCAATTGCCTCACCAATTGCCCTCAGCCTCGCCCCATGCACGCGATCTTGTGACCTTTACGTTCTTGGCCTCTCCCCCTCTCCCTGTTATCCAGGGTTCGAGTTACCGGCCAACGAGCACCTGTGCTTGCACTCGCCATTGTTTACTCCTCTCTATGCACAAGAAATACTAATGACTTTCCGGCTTTTTTTTTTTCTTTCGGGTATTTTTTACAGTATTTGCCTTCTGGGTTTGCTGAGAAATACCTTAGCGGGATATCTGGATTCATCAAACTCCAGCTTGAAGATAAAGAATGGCCTGTGCGTTGCCTCTACAAAGCTGGGCGAGCCAAGTTCAGTCGAGGATGGTATGAGTTCACTCTCGAGAACAATCTCTTTGAGGGAGACGTCTGTGTCTTCGAGCTGCTCCAAACCCGGGATTTTGTGCTGAAAGTCTCGGCCTTTCGGGTCAATGGGTTCGTGGGGTGATATCTTCTTCGATCCTGCAGGGTTTCGGGTAAAACTTCGTGTTAGGTTCTCTTGATTTGAAATGTTTGATTTCCGGGCAAATCTAAGTCTAGTTTCTTGGTTTCTGCTTGTGTTAAGTGAGATTTCGGGTGTCGTTTTTCGATGTGAATAAGCATTGGAACTTCGGGCGGAACTTTGTTTAAGTGGAAGTTTTAGGGGATGAATGTAGGTAGGGTTGTAAATACTTATCTCCATCAGTTTGGTATTGATGACCATGACCATGGCCATGATGATGTGTTTGTTATTGTTCTCATTATCTCTTCACTCTGTTATGAACTTTGCTGACTGAACTGTTTTGTGACCACGAAAGTGGCTGTCTTAAACCGGAAGGAAGGGTGCTGCTTTAAAAATGACGAAAGAAGAACAAAAACTAGGCATATTATTATTCAATGCCAAATTCAATCATTAAACTCCAAAGTCCAAGTTCAAATCTAATGTGATTTTTGGAATGAATTCTAAAATGGAAGTCAAGACTTACAAATAAAATGATTTGGGTTTAAAAAAATGCATTTGGATCACAATGGGTAAATATGAGAAATAAAAAGTAAAATGGTAAAAATATTAATTTTAAGAGTAAATCCTACTAAAAATTCTGAACTTAAAAACGGTGAAAAACTAATTGCTTTATTTTTATTTGATAAATCTATTTTTAAACTAGTAAAAAATGTCATTAAAATTTTCAAAATTGTTGACGGGTGCATCCTTACATTCTCATGCAAGGGAAAGTTTTTTTTTTTTTTTTTTTTTTTTGAATCATGCAAGGGAAAGTTGAAAAGAGAGTCAACATTATCATGCAAGGGAAATTTTTTTTTTTTTTTTTTTTTGTTGAATCATGCAAGGGAAAGTTGACAAGAGAGTCAACATTAGGACAAGATCTTTAAGTGATCCTTAAACCCCGATATTCCCTAAGAACCAAATTGTGCAAAACAGATCCGTGATGGAAAACTCTCCAAATCCACGATGGATTCCTCTAAAAAACATAAGAACTAGTGAAGATGTTACAAGCACTCACGGTTAGTACTTGATAGTGGTGAGCATTTCGGTTTTTAGTTCGGTATTCAAACTGTTTGGTTCGGAAACGGTATTTTCGGTTTTATAAGAACTGTAGCAAAGTAGAACCAAATGTTAAACGGTTTGTTTCGGTTCGTTTTAAATATTGGTTCGATTCGAAACGATATCGTTATATGAATACCACATAAACCATAATATTTACACAAATATTGATGAATGGTACGGACTTCCGTTCGGTACTTGTCGAGTTCGGTTCGAAAACAGTTTATCCGGTCCTATAAACCAAATTAGAACCAAACGTTATTCACAACTGCGTTGAAGATTCGCAACAAATTGAATTGAAAATTTGAAAAGTTGCGATTCAAAGCAGATGCATTGGCAACTTACCGTGCTATAACTATGCAACGCATTATTTCGTTGGCAATGACGTTGCCAACGCTTTTTGTGTTGTAAAAAAAAAGTTCAAAGCACATTGTGATGCAATACGTTAGAAATATGCAACGTTTCGTGTTTCGTTGAAAATTTGGTCACAGATTTGCAACGGTTTTAAAGCGTTGGGCGATGAATTTTGCGTTGCCAATTACCAACACTTGTTTTGCGTCACAAGTACGTTGTTTTTCCTATATCGAGAAAATCGTCATAAAAACCCTATAAAGTTAACGATTAAATCCTGTATTTTTTTTATAAGTAAAGAAATTTAAAACTAATTCTATTTGACCAATAAATTATTGTATTTTAAAATTATTAGTCAATATGAATTAGTTTTAGAGTTTGAAAGTATGCTAATTTATTATATAATAACTAGGTGAGATCCGCGCGATGCGCGGTTGATTCTTTTTTATTTTAATATAAAATATTTTCTCTTTTGTTATGAAAAAACGTTGAAATGAATATAACAAAACTAATATATATATATATACAAAGGTCTTTAAAATTTGAAAATATAGATATTATTGTATTATTTTATTATAAAATTCTTTTTATATATTCGTTGAATACGTTTATATATTTTTTACGGTGAAGTACATGTTTAATAAAAAACATTTGTTTACACCGATTTTTTGTTTTTGTCAAATAAATATTAAACTTTTTAAGTGAATTTAAAAAACATTTAACTTTTTAAGTGATCCAAAAAATACATAAACGTTTATGCGATTGTCAAAAAAAAATATTAAACACTTTAAATGATTCCAAAAAATACATGAACTATATACAATCGTAAAAAAACTAAAATAATAATTTGACATGTTTGCATTTTCTTATATCACGTCATCTCATTTGTTTATTTTGAAAATCGTAGAAGAATTAAGTTTTGTTTTGACAAATTTAAAAAGTTTTATGTTTATTTGATAAAATCAAAATTTTAGTTTTTTTTATCAAATTTGGAAAGTTCAATATTTTTTTAGGATTTTTCATTCAATTTCGATTGGAATTTAAACATAACAAAAATAGATATCGTCATTTTCGTAAACTAAAAATTTAATTTGTAAATCCAATACGTGAACTAAAATTACTTGGAGTAATTCTAATATAAATATTTCATAAACATAACGCATATTACCAGCTTTTTATGTAATCCAAAACATCATATGTCACTTACTTCTCTGTTGTTTCGTTAACATCAAACCATTACATATTCTGACAACAATCCGATCCCTCAGTAGCTTTGTAGCTATCTAATTTTTTTCCTTCCCATGAACAATCCCGACATCTACGTCTAACTTCAGTAAAATCTCAGAAACATTAAATGATGTGAAAACTCATTATCTTTAGGAATAACCGATGTCCATCGGACAATCTATCGAATGTGCCGCCAAGAACGACCACACCGCACGAATTCGAAGGTGATATCGCCGAAGCCACCGTCGGATCTTTTGCCACCGCTATTAACGGAGTTCAAAGAGGAATCAAAGACTCTTGGTATGTTAGAAATAGAGAATCATGATTCTTCAAATTCTGATATTACTCTTCAACTTTTGATAATAAATCCTCAACATTATCATTTAAAAAATGACCCAGTGCTATAAAAATAGTATAAAAAATATTATAGTAATATAATAAATAAAAATGATATTCTTAAATATTGTAGTAAAAAATTGTTTTAAATTTGGTTAAATTTATATAAATTATATTTAAAAAATATAAATCACTTATGTGATACTTATAATTTTTATTTTTTATACACATGGGATTCTGTAATATCTATAATATAATATACAAAAATCATGTCATGTAAATACAAAAGGCAAATACAATTGAAAACTTACCTTGATAACAGATGTTAATGTTTTCTTATATTTTTTCTTTAAGAATAAAATTATTCTCTTTAATAAAAATGATATGAAGATATGTTATCTTTTTTATTCCTCTATTCTTTTCTCAGTAGTGTTGTGTGCATAGACTGATTTCAATTTGAAATACGTGTTCTTTAGGTGTAAGAGATTGATCTTTGAAATTGTATTTGATCCTTTCCGTTCTCACGATGTGATACTCAGTTCAAGATATAATTTTATTAGGTATGTAACCAGTTTTTTTATACACTTTTTGATAAATCTTTTCAATTTTGGATGAACCTTTCATGTTAATGGAAACGAACCACTACCACTATTTGGTGATCCTAAAAGTGGTTTCGAACCTCAAAAGACATTTGGGAGTTAACGTCGGAGTCCACTAACACTGACTGCAGTAACCCGACGTTTCTTGGAATGCAAGTCTCAAGCAAACAGTACAATTTCTTTGATCCAAATCATGAAAACATTGAACAATCGAATCCATAAAATAAGAATCATCGAATCCAATCGCTCTTTCTCGATCTTTCCCGGCATATGGAGTTGAGGATCCCATTGCCAAATAATTCCATGGTTCTTGGATTGGAACTGTATAGATCTATTCCTCTTTTTTTTTCTCCTTGAATCTAAGATTTTTTTTGTTAGAGCTTTTTTTTTGCAAAAAAAGAGTAAAAAATAGAGTTTTCCACCACCACTCGAAGACCTTTATAGGTTACATAAAATATTACTAATTAATAATCTTGACCACTTATGACCACCAATATATGCACCATTTCTTGTTTTGAAGGTAATGAATCGTTTTGGGTAGTTAATTTTTTAATTTTTTATTCTATTAAATATATGTTATATATTATATTGCTTTCCATTTATTGTCATAATAATTATGATGAACTAATGAATATTATTGTCCGTTTTTTATTTATGGGTAGTTTAATGAATATTTTTTAACCATATTTTTGGTAGTTTTTTTATATTTTTTAATTATAACAATCATTGATAAATTTTTTCTCAAAATATTATCATTTTAATTATCATAGTTATTATCTAAAATAAAGATGAACTGTTTGTTTTTTAAAATTGATAATAAGATATTGATATTTTTCATTTTTTATATCTTTAAACATATTTTAATTTTATATAAAATATATGTATAATCAAATAAAATTTTAATAATATATAAAACTAAAAATAAATTATGTTTAAACAAAGATTTTGAATATTTTAAAAAATATCACATAGATGATGATGTGGATGTTGAGGTGGCTTCAATGCTTCATTACAATCCTTTAAACCCATTTCTTCACCACAAGCAAAATAATATCCATCGAGTCACCCATCTATATCTATATCTATATGTATCTATATATATTATTCCTTTCTTTTGTAAATACATCATTTGAAAAAATTTTATTACTAAATAAATATCGTTCAATATTTTCTAGGTAATGTCTTAGTAAAGTTTTCAATTTTAACCTTATTTAAAAACATCTCATTTCAATAAATTATTAATGAAAATATAATGTAATAATAGTATATATGACTTATTTAGATTTTTTGTGCAACAAACTGTGGAAAAATATAAAACTACATTTATTTTGATTAAAATAAAAAATAATTTCATTCTATATATCTATGCAACATTCATTTTATTACGCTACATATAATTAAAATAAATTAAAAACTAAAAAGAAATTATTAACATAAATACCCAAATAAAATAAATATTAAAATTGATGAAAAAAATCTATACATATACACACATACATACATCATTTATTTTAGTCGTATAGTTTGATTAAATTTATTCTTCTAAGCCTACGTTATGTAGTTTTATCTGTGTTACACGATCATTGCTAGAAGCATATATTATATGATGTAAAAATTTAAACCCAATGCTAAATTGTTAATCGACATAAGTCCTAACATTTATAATTTAATATAACAAAACTAGATTGGTCAAATAAAAAAAGACAACAACCCACTTGCATCCTCATCCATCGTTCAATGACAAAAAAACTTGGATTTAAGTAAAACATTAATTTAACTTTATACTATTATTAGTATTTCAAATAATACCTCACTCGCACATTTTCTGACAGTGTCTGCCAAGAATTCAAAAACTTTCTAATGGTTTCATTACACCACGTTGCTCAAGGAATGCATAACACTCCAACCTCGATAACATTTCTTAGTCTTCTCCTTCGTCTTCTCTCTGCAATTCCTCGTTGCTTCACCCACCTCATGATTCCTCTTTAGAACAATCACTGACGCATATTTCAGATTTCTTTGTTCGAAATGAATATGCTTTAGTTTTGTTTTCTTTTTGTTTCTTTCATCTTTCTGTGCATGGTGAGCTTCTGTTCATCGCTTAATTCTAATGGGGTGTTTGTGTTTGCCTTAAAATCCGCCATCGAGATCGGTTTGTTCTGCGTGCTCCTGGTCAGATTCCAACCCGACTCCGTGTCATTGGACCGGAATCGTCTGTACCAGTGGCCGAGTCACCTAGCTTGTTCTCGCCGGAAAATCAATGCTCAGATACATACTGTGCTCCCTCCCTTGCCGCCGATGGTGGCTTTGTAATGGACCGCTTTGTCCACTAAAACCAGATGATATTCCCTTCATATAACAAATACTCATCAATCACAATAATAATCAGATCAGCATTGTATATATCATTTGAAATATGTAATCAATATATATATATAGATATATAGATATATTTGCTTTTCCATTTGACAACTCTAATTCATTATTTATGGTTAAAAAAAGAGGCATCAAGAGATAAGTGTTGTATATCCGTAGGTCTAAGTGCAAGTTCTGAAACATATAGAACATAAAGATAGTGTGTGTATATATATATATGTATGTTCTGAAAATATATAGTCTATATGGAGATAATTAGATCTATATATTTATATGGTTACTGAATAAATATTCCTGTATAAAACTTAAAAAAAAAATCTACAATTTATCATATTTATGATGTTGTATAAGAAATATTTAAGATGTTAAAAATCTATAACTCAACTGCCAACATACAAAGTCAAACAAAACATTTTGTAGTACATTTGAAGTAAAAATCTTTGTCTCCCTTTGTGTTTCTTTTTGGGCATTATCCAACATATAGTAGGGTTTGCCATCCAGAACACAATGAATTATGGTGTTTCTTTAAATCCGATGGAGAGGTTAGTATATACCTCATAATTCATTTATCCAAAAGTATCAGTTTCACCGCTCATGTCCTTTGGATTGTGTGCCTCCACCCGAACAACCCAAAATCAATTATCTTCAGATTCATGTTGGTGTTTAGAAGCATATTCTATATTTTCACATCAAGATAAACGATCTTCTTCGAAATCTAATAGCTTTACCTGCACTCGATCAAACTCACGATTTCTTCAAATAAAATAATGAAAAGAAATCGTTGAAAATTACCCTTGGGAGAGATCCTCAGCGAGTTGGATCACAATATGATAAGCAAATATCTTGCGACGGCTACGGATTATAAACTGTTTCACATTTACACTCGAGAGATATTCCACAACGACAGAACATGCTAGAGAATGCAAGGATTGCTCATCAAATAAAAACCATCTTCACCCCAACCAAGAACTTTAATTGCAATTATACAAAAAATAAATAAAATGGACATGCAATGCAAATATTTATAACGTCGGTTTTCATTAGTAACGTTTTTCATTAGTGAATTAGTGGGGAAGACTAATAGTTTTTTTCATTAGTGGTTATTAAATGATTGTTATCACGCTAGGTTGATTCCACCAAAATGTCCATTGATATTTTCTTTTTTGTATACTATTAAAGATTCCACCTAGATTTCTATTGATATTTTTCTTTTATCATTCTCTCAAGATTATTATATAATATTATATTTTAATTTTGTAATTTGAATAATATTATCAAGATAACTAATAATATTTTTTATATTACAAAGATGAAATTTTTTAATTTTTCTTCATTAAGATAACTAATAATATTGTTTTTCATTAATTAGTCAATTGATATTTTTCATGTAGTTAAAACTAATGAACATGTTTATAAACCAATTGAAATGAAGAAAATTGCCACATAGGATGCTTAGGTGTCCTCACCAAATCTCTTTAAACATCTTTATTAATATATATATATAGATTTGAAAGTCCACTAATTTATTGGTCAGATAGAATTAATTCATAGTTTATTTTATTAGAAAAAATTACAGGTTTAATCATTGATATGAGAAAAATAGAGTTAATCCCACAAAAAATCCAAAATTTGTTAAAATATTTCATATAAAATTCTGAACTTGTAATCTTCCATAAAAAAAATCCCTGAATTTGGCAAAACTTCCACAAAAATTAAAACCTTACAATTTTCTTCCATATAAAATATTTGACTTGTTTGACCAAAAATTTTGCTAACATGACGCTGACTGAGTTGACACATCAATGCCACGTCATCATTTTAAAATTTTTAATATAAATTTCTAATTTTTAGTCAAATATATATTAAGTTTGTAATTTAAAATTTTAAATATACAAATATATATACATATACCTATATACATACATACATACATACATACATACATACATACATACATACATACATACATACATACATACATACATATATAGTTTTTTTTATCAAATATCTATACATATATATATTTGTATATATATTAATTTTGTAATTTAAAATTTTAAATATACAAATATTTTAATCAAATGTATAAATTTATATATATATATATATATATATATATATTTGTACATACATATTTTTATCAAATATTTAAAATTTTAAAATGATGACATGGTGTTGACGTGTCAACTCAGTCAGGGCCATGTCAGCAATCCGTCGTTCCACGTCAGCAAAATTTTTGGTCAAACAAATCAAAGGTTTGATATGGAAGAAAATAATAAATTTGTAATTTTTGTAGAAGTTTTTACCAAATTCGGGGTTTTTGTGGTAAATTACAAGTTCAGAGTTTTAATTGGGATATTTTAACAAGTTTGAGGTTTTTTGTGGAATTAACCAGAGAAAAATATAGAGTTTTTATGAAGATTCTTCCTATGTTTAAAAATAATTCTTCCAATTTCAAATGAGGATAGGATTTTAAGATTTCAACTTCGAATTGCGATTAACCGCGCAAAATTTTTTTTTTTGATAACGCGCGCAAAATTTCAATTTCAATTGATTATTAATTAGGTTGGATTATAAGCAAATGAAATCAAATTCAAAATTTTATTTTTTATTCTAAAGCTAGTTAAATTCATTTCTCTTATATCTATAAATTCAGAAGCATATACCCTACAAATCAATTTTTTATAACTCACTAATTTCATTTAGCTCGTTAAGTTAAATCTCTATAAACATAATAGATTATATTAAATCAGATGAATGTTAGGCACTTTTATTAATTTTTTAACGGAAAATGGTTTGTTTGAGTATGCATGCGCGGGGTTTTACATTTTGAACCGACCACGTGAAACAAAGTTCCAAAGAAAGTGGGACTTTCTACTTTTGTCCAGAAAACATAAATAAAAAATGTTATTCCTGAAATTGCAACGGCTATACTCCATTTTCAACAATTGAACTAACAAAAGCAATCTACCATATATATTTCAAAATAATCAGAACGTCAAATGCCTTTATCAAATAAAATATTAAATTTAATGAAAATATAAATAAAAACAAATCATATTATGCGTATGTAAAGACCTTTTTTCTCTTTTGTTTTTAGAGAAGAATATTCGTTTTTCATTTTTTAGCCTTCCCAATACAATTCAAATATTTGCAATTACACAGAATAACGGGAAAAAAGGACATAAAAAAAAGCAACTTTCGGATTTTCCCCATAAAAATTAAAGAGAATACGAAAATTCTATGACGTGGCGGATATCTATTGGCCGACAGCGATGCCATTATATCATCTCTCTGCCGGCCACATCAACTTTGCCTCGACCACAAAAGCCTCGAATCACATGGGACGCAGAACGTTTCTGTCTGCGCGTGCATCTTCACGCGACGTCCAGACCTACGACGGCGAGCAAGTTAACTAGCCAAAGTAGAACTATCCTCTTCCACGCGCTTGTTGATTTACGGCAGCGCGTACCCCGTCACGCGCCACACTTTGACAGACTTATCCAAGCTGCCGCTGTAAACTATCCAACTCTGGTCACCGACTTTCTCTCCCACGCGGCGGATGCCGTCGATTTCTTCATCACCCACAGCCTCCTCCACCGCGGCTAGACACTTGACGGGGCCTACGTGGTCGATCAGAACAGAAGCCCACGTGTGGGTCCCATCTGGATGCCTCCGCCACACGCATATGTTCTTGTCGGCACCACCGCTGAGCAGGAGATTACCCGCGGTGGCGAGGCACAAAACCGCCATGCGGTGGCCACGGAGGGACCCACCGTGAGAGAGGTACTTAAGCCCTTCCCAGAAGTTAACGGAGCCGTCAGAAGCTCCACAGTAGACAACAGCCGCCGTCAAGTTGACGGCTAACGCCGTCAAGGCGTTCTCTTGCTTTATCAACACGTTAACCAAGAAATGCTTCGTTCCTCTTCCTTGTAACTCACGTTTCCACACCTTCAACGTCCCGTCGGCTGATCCGGTGAAGAGCAAGTCGTCGAAACCCGAGACGACAGTGTTTATGGCGTCATCGTGGGCTTGGATCGATTCCAAACACTTGGAATCTGATAATCTCCAGATCTTGAGGGTCTTGTCCCAAGAACCAGAGTAAAGTAACCCTAGTTCTTCATTAACGCTCAGACAGGATACTGCATCGAAATGTCGGATCTTGAGTACGTTCTTGTTTCTACGAACTTCGACGTAATTCTTCGGATTCATCGATTTCATTAGATACTCCTTCAACGTGGGCAAGCTTCCGATTCGAGAATATCTCCCTGGAAAGCTCCTAGATCCTCTCCAGACCCGGATTTTCCCGTCTTGATGACCTGTGAAAATCCGGTTATCTCCAGTTAATACAATCGCCTTAACCAAACCGCTGTTCGATTTGAAACCGGCGAAATCCTTGAGATCTTTCCAGACCCTAATATTCTTAGAGTCCGACCCTGTGAACAGAAGATCTCCGGAAGCAGCCAACGAGTAGACATGCCCTTCTTGCCTCACGATCGTACCGATCAAACCGGTTTCGGAATCGTTGGTTAACTCGTGGTTATTCCCGGTTTGGTAGATCCACGGGGATTTGTAGTACGGAGAGTACGTCTGGTTCCACGGGGATGTGGACGGAGTCTTGTCGGTGGACGGAGAGAAAGTCTGGTTCCATGGAGACAGTACGTACGGAGACAAAACTGTCTCCTCGCTCGTTGTTGTCGTCGTTGTCGCCGTGGAGGCGTTGCTTGGCCTTTGATAATTATTGGTATTACTGTTGTATTTATTGTGATTCGTCGTAGTGGAACGGATTTGCTTGTTGTCGCCATTGCTGTAAGCTTCGTCGGCGTCGGCGTTCAAGAAGGCAGCGAAGGTTGGTCTCCGGTGATGATGGTGATTCTCTGCAGTAACCATGTTGATGGTGGGAAAGTTTTTCAGGATTTCTCGGAAACCAACGAGAGAAACTTGAAAATTAGGAGGGCTTTTTAAGGATTTTCTTGAAGGATAGGAAGTTTGGAATGGTGATGGGAAAAGTACAATATGGTTTTTTGTTTTTTTTTTTGTCAGTGGGAAAATTACAGGGGGTTTTCTCGGGAAACTTTACCCGCAGAAAATTATGTTTTATGTCGGAAACGATTAACGGTAATAATGGGCTGGGGCCGAGAAAGTAAGGTTTTGTTTTGTTTGTTTGGTGGGTGGGAAAATGCCTCGGGGGATTTTCTCGAGAAAATATTCAGTGGTATGGGCGGAAGGTGGGGATGATATAAATAGGAAAGGAGTGGCGTGATGGGCAGTAGGAGTTGGTGAACCGTCGACGTGGGGTAGCGCCACGTGTCAGTCTCGTACGATGCTTGAGTGTCAGATACCGGTACACCGGGGGTACCGGTTTCGCTTGAAAAAGAAAATCGGAAAAAAACAATTTAATAACGAAATTGCAAAAAGAAATAGATTATATCAGTTTTGTTAGACAACGTAGAGTGTATGATTTATATTCGTATGGTTTTTATAAGTCGAATAGTAAATTAAAAATCATTACACCAAAAAATAATTCTTGTTAGAAACAAAAGAAGTACTAGAAAAAATATTTATTAGTTTTATATGGTTTGTATTAGAAAGATTTCTAAAATTTACATTGAAATACATAGACATTAAAAATATTGTAGATAAAATTGTCTGATTTTTGGGTTTTAGAGTTTGGATCCGAATATGAATTTTATGAATAAGTTTATTCTTAGACCGGATTCAAATTTCATGTTTCCACTGTTGTATATATTTTAAATTGTTACAAATTATTAGTGTATGATTGTGGTTGAATGATTTATGATATATGTGTCCCAATGGGTTTCAAATCAGTGTACCACCGGTCGTTTGATTATGGTTCAATGGTCAATATATCCATTATATTCTTTGACCACTCATCTACTTTTCACCCTACCCTTGAAAAAAAAAATATTGAAAAAATAAAAAGACAAAAAAACCATGAAATTAAATAGAACGACAAAGTTACCCTTGGCAGCTCACACTCTCTCTCCCACGTTTTGTTCAGTTTCGAAATTAAAAAGGCAAAAGAAAACCTCTGAACTCAACTCTCACTCTAAAACCTCCGATTTGTTCTGTATTTTCGTCTGAGCCAATTTCGGTTTCTCCTCTTCTTCTCTCTGTGTCGAAATTTCTGTTTGCAACTAGATTCGAGTCGAGATTTGTGGAAGACATGACGAAAGGGAAGAAAATGGTTGTAGAATCTTCGGTACAGTCGTCTTCATCATCTTCTTCCTCCGAAAATGAGGATCGTCTGCAAATTTCGGAGTTAAAAGGACAGACGGTAGGTTAAATGAAATCATCTTCCGGTTGGATTTTGGTTGTTGTTTAGTTGAAATATCGATTTCAGAATCTATAAGTAGAGATTTAGGGTTTGGGTTTCTGAAATTTTGGAGATTTCGAAGTAGATGGTAGGGTTTTGGGTTTCTAAAATCTGTAAGTGAGGTAATTACTTGTCATGTGAAATGAGTGACATTGTGATTTGGGGTTTCTGAAATCAGTAGAGATTTAGGTAACTAATTGGGTACATTCTGATTTAGGACTGAGAAAAAGAGTCACAGTAACCTTTAAATCGGATTATAGATGTATGGATTGCATAGTGATTTGTGTAGGTCACGGTATGGTCACAACGTCACATGTTGTCATTGGCCACAAAGTCACATGGTGGTATGGTCACGTCACATGTTGTTATAGGTCACAGAGTCACATGGTGGTATGGTCACAACGTCACATGTCGGTTATAGGTCACAGAGTCACAGTTCACATGGTCCCAGGTCACATAATTATATGTTCGTGTAGGTCACACAGGTCACTGGATCACAGGTGACTAGATCACAGGTCATAGACTTGTTTATATTGCATGGTGTGTTAAATTTTTTATGTTTTGCAGGTATCATATTACTTCAAAATGGAGGAAATTCATTTCTGTCCGAGGATAAATACTAGATGCTACCCGTCGGAGACATTGAAAAACCTGAAAGATCTATTAACAGCGAAAGAGTGGCTATACTTCAAGAACGAATCGCAGTTTCAACATCTATTCCATGATCAATTTGAAGACACCCTGAAAATGGCGCCGACGACATATCTGATAAACCATGCAGTGAGGGTCGGTGATGATAAAGAGCTGTGGTTTGTCTATAATGGTGTACCAATCAGATACTCGATCATCGAGCACGCACTAATATGCGGATTAAAGTGCGGTGAATATCCGGGAGGGTGGGAGTATAAGAGAACAAGTCACTTTAGAGTTAAGACATTTGGAAAAGGAAAGGTGACTAAACAAGGTGTGCTCAAGCAACTAGAGAAGACACCTACTCATAGGGTTGCCGACCGGAAGAAACTGGCAATTGTGATGTTACTTGGAGGAGTCTTAGATCATGGTACAACAGATGATCACATAAACCATGATTTGGTAGACATGGTTAATGATTTGGAGTTTTGTGAAAAATTTCCTTGGGGACGTTATACATTCGAAAAAATCACTGATCAAATACGAAAGTGTTGGTTATAATGCTCTACGATGATCCGTGATATGGTATTTTGACTATGTATTGATTCATTGGTTTATGAATGCATTACTTTTCCCGTTATATGATTGACATATTTGTTATGTTTCGATAGATATCCTTGAATCATTGCAGATGATTCTAAATTCCCTGGTCAGTTGTCATTGTGGGAACAATGATGAATTAAGACCAGCATGATGTGTGATTGATGATGATGATCATATGCATTGGATACAAATCACGATCATGGGTACTCGTTTGGAACGAGTGACTGGATGACCCGCATGAGATCGTCATATGGACATGAGTTATGACTTGAATCTCATACAACGGTTCGTTCTTGAGTATCTGATATGAGGAGTGGCGTGTCTTGACTGCGTCAAACGTCGTCTTTAACCGGATGATCATAACAGCGTTGCTTAGATACGTTCACGAATCATATGTAGATAATAGACATGCAATACGGGACTTGTCACCTCCTAAGCAGGAGAGATGTCTTGGGCCCCTCGTGGAAATCGGACTGTGAAAATATGTGGCCACGCTGTAGATGAAGTTACATCTATTTTGTCAGTCGATTTGCCAAGACGAGTAAGCGGTTGAACTTGAAGGGTGGCTCAAACCATGCCCTTATTCAACATATGACATCGTGAGACAAAGGATCAGAGCTCAAACTATTGCTGGCTATGTTAGATCACCTCTAACTCTATTCTAGGTGGGTGGTCATGGCGTCTTGCTAGAGCCTAACCATGACTTGTGATTGGGAAAAGGGTTTCCGAAGCCACTACCACTTCGAATGAGCCTACAGGGTCACACACCATTAGGGATGGATCACACCTGAAGAGAATGAAGCGAGAAGGAACGACGAAACGAGCTGGAAGAGTTCTAGATGGCCAGACCGTCCGATCCAGACCTGGATCGGACAATCCAGCCGTTCCGGACCGTCCGTTCTGGTTGAAGATGGATTGTCCGTTCCGCACAAAGGACAGACCGTCTGATACAGACCTGGACCAGACGGTCCAGCCGTGCCAGAACGACCGTTCTGCGAAGAAACAGACCGTCCGTTTTGCGTAGGGGTCAGACCGTCCAGTCCAGACCTAGACCGGACGGTCCAACTTTCGGGAAAATTTCCTTTTCGCGGTAGATCTCCGCGTCGAGAATGGAGCAAAAGTTGTTGCATTGACCGTCGGCACTTACGATCTCACTTTACCTTCTGGCCTTGTATTGGAGTTGCATGATTGTTTTTTGTACCTACCATCAGTAGAAACATTATATCGATTTCATGTTTAGACTCAGATGGTTTCATATTTGTTATTGAGAACAAATGTCTGTCCATTTATAGAGGCAATTTATTCTATGGTAAGAGTTACCAGTTTAATGGCCTTTATGTTTTGGAAGATGAACCATCTAGATACAGGTCGATCTATAACGTAAGTACTAAACGGTTTAAGCCGAACGACTTAAATCCGATCTATCTCTGGCTTTGTCGACTTGGCCACATCAATGAGAAACGCATTGCGAAGCTTCATTATGATGGACTTCTTGATTCTTTTGATTATGAGTCAATTGAATCATGCGATTCTTGTTTGATGGGAAAGATGACAAAATCTCATTTTTCTAGAAAAAGGAGAACGGGCTACAGAGTTGCTAGAACTCATACATAGTGATGTATGTGGTCCTATGAGCTCGCCCACTAGAGGAGGTTATCTGTACTTTGTTACGTTTACTGATGATTTCAGTAGGTACGGTTATGACTACTTGATGAGACATAAGTCTGAAACGCTTGAATTGTTCAAGACTTTCAGAAACGAGGTGCAGAACCAACTTGACAAGACGGTTCAGAAGACACCATATGAGATATGGACTGGGAAGCGTCCCGGGTTAGCATTCATGAAGATTTGGGGATGTGACGTTTACGTGAAACGTCTGGCTTCTGATAAGCTATCCGCCAAGTCTGATAAATGCATATTTGTGGGTTACCCTAAGGAAACTAAAGGGTACTGGTTCTACAATCCATCTGAGAACAAAGTGTTTGTTGCTCGGAATGGATCTCTCTTGGAGAGAAAGTTCGTCTCCAAGAGAGTTAGTAGGAGTAGAATAGATCTCGAAGAAGTTCGAGAACCACAAATAGTCGAAGAACCGGGTGAACAGGTCGAATCGGTTCAACCTGTATCACAAGTTATTGAGACAACACCTCCTAGTGGACCTCGGAGATCTGGTAGAATTCGCCAAGAACCCAGAAGATACGGATTTCTTGTGACTGGAAACGACGAACTCATGTTGTTAGAACATGACCAGCGTACGTCGTATTCAGAGGCTGTGGCGAGTTCCGATTTCGAGAAATGGCACCAGGCCATGGAGTCTGAGATGCAGTCCATGTACGACAACAAAGTGTGGACTTTGGTCGATTCGTTCGATGGTATTAAGACCATTGGATGCAAGTGGGTTTTCAAGAAGAAAACCGACATGGATGGCATCGTGCATACCTATAAGGCACGACTCGTCGCGAAAGGTTTCGGCAGATTCATGGTAGGGGTGGGCACGGGTCGGATATCCGGAAATTTGAGGGTACCCGAACTCGAACCCAAACGTCTCAGGTTACATGTTTTATTACCCGATCTCGTACCCGTAAAATCGGATACCCGAACTCGAAAACCCGTGAGATAATTTCCGGATACCCGAGGGTACCCGAACCTGAATATTTGTAATTTTTTCAATTATTATTTTAAAATATATTTATATATACACACTCAAAATCATTCAAAATAAATTTAAATTGTATTTATATCTAAAATAAATTTATTTTTAAAAAATACATCATAAATATATCCTAATAATATCTATATAATCATTAATATTAAATAAAATAACACAAAATCTAATAAAAAATCTAAATTTTAAAAATATTTTTTTATTATCCGGGTACCTGAGAGTACCCATGAGATAATAATCATTACCCGAACCCGAACCCGAAAATTTGGGTATTCTAATATCAATACCCGATCTCATGTCTCGTTCGCTCGGATACTCGAAATACGAATATTTTTGCCCACCCCTAATTCATGGTATAAACTATGATGAAACCTTTTTACAAGTTGTGATGCTTAAATCCATACGGATTCTGCTGGCCATAGCTGCGTATTATGACTACGAGATATGGTAGATGGACGTCAAGACCGCATTCTTTAACGGGAATTTGCTCGAAGATGTGTACATGACACAACCCGAGGGTTTTGTTGATCCTAAATGTGATAACCCGTGAATTTGTCATCCATAGCGAACCTTAGGAAACTCTAAATAAACTATGATGAAACCTTTTCACCACTTGTAATGCTTAAATCCATACGGATTCTGCTGGCCATAGCTGCGTATTATGACTACGAGATATGGCAGATGGACGTCAAGACCGCATTCTTTAACGGGAATTTGCTCGAGGATGTGTACATGACACAACCCGAGGGTTTTGTCGATCCTAAGTGTGACCCTAGAACATTGCCCCAAACCTACCCCAAGCAAGGAAAACGGGCGGAAAAGAGGCTGGAACGTCCGGTCTGAGTAAGCAGACCGTCCGTTCCAGACCAAGCGGAACGTCCGTTCCGCATACACAGACCGTCGGGTCTGACGACGTTGGCCAGGTCTCGCGCGCCGCCTCTCCTTTCTGCTGAGTCACGACCGCAAGTTCGGCTTTTCTCCAGTGCGTGACACCTTCTGCTTGCTCAGGGACACCTCTTGCTTCCTCTGGGACGCGGGATTTCGCCTAAGTCCGCCCATTCTTCGGCCATTTCACTCTTACTTCACTCTCTCACTCTCTTATAAACTCTCTCAAAACTCCGAACATTCAATCATCGATTGAAGCTTCGATTTCGGTCGAAATCGACCAAGGAACACATAAATCAACACTAGAGAACCTCCTTAGTAAAACCCCAAGCTCGAATTTGAGCTAGGTGAGTGTTTTGGATTAAACCCGAATATGATAATCAAATTGAAAATGGAGTTTTGTTTGCCTTGAGTGAGAATTGCATGAAATTAATTGTAGATTTGAGTTCCCCATGAATCCTAGGTTATTTTGAGCTATAGTTGATTGAATTTGGTGCAAAAATTGGAAAATCCGAAGTACTGGTTCGCCTAGACCGAATGAGTTGTCTTTATACGATTTCGAATGAGGTCATAAAAATAAGGGGTCCAGGCCAGGACCGTTCGTTCTAGGGTTTGCAGGGTTCCGGGGAAGAAGGTGAAGTTGGACCGTCCGGTCCAGGTGCGGACCATCCGTTCTAGCTCCACTCAGACCGGAGGGACCAGACCACCCAGACCATCCATTCCAGACGGAGTAGACCGTCCGTTCCGGACCTCTGTCTCCCCGTTTTGGCTCGTTTCGTCGGATCGAGCGAGATCCGATGCAACCGACCTATATACCTGACCTACTTAACCCATTCCTTACCCGAATCCCATGAAACTCGAATGAAACCAACCTACGGTAAGTAAAAACTTCGGAACGAGTTGAACTGGTAATCCGAGATGGTCGGAATCCAATTTGATCGGATCGGAGGGTAAAAGAATTTAATGGAATCGATATACCGGAACAACAAGTAAGACGCATGTATATATGAATAAGGTATAATCTCGTATGAATGCTTGTGATACGTGTGTACCGAGTCTAAAATATATAACCCGATTCACAACTCACCGCAAGGATACGGATCGTCGTAACACGGGGTCGAACACGAGGACCGGTTGCTAAATCCAAATCTAGATCGAAAAGAGATCAAAGCAAGCAAGCAAGTAATGATGGAAGTGTATGGAATCTATAGAAAACGAAATAAGAAAGCAATATAAACGAGTAACCTATCAAACAAGGATGACTACGGGTGTCGGGATCGTATTCGCGTGTATGGGTATATGCTAAGCATGCGAGAATAACGATTATGACTTGTATTCGGGAATCATCAAGCAACAAAGATAGAGAATTCACCTCTCGGTCTACTAACTCCCTACCTACAGAGTAACTCGT